ATTTTTCTCCGTTGCGTGTCGCTTCGCGTTGAATTTTCGTCGATGTTAAGCCTAACGAAGACTATTGTATTGTTAAAAATTATTTTTTTATTTCGTACAAACAAAATAAATATATTGAAAAATATAAACAATAAAAAATTATACTTCAGAAGTTAATTTAGTATCAAAAATGTAAAATATTTGAGTAGCCGAAGACATAGCCAAAGATTACAGCGCCACAGCACTGGCAAAAATTAAAATTTGTCGACTGGAATTCCTTCGGATAACCAACCTTCAGATAACCGACGCTCTACTGTAGTTTAATAAGTCATAGCCATTTTTTTTCTTATTGGACTATATAAATGTTTGCTATTTCTTTATAAATGCTGTGCATAGATTAAATTTATAAATTTACATACTATTTAAATAGAAATTAAATTTTTAGTTTTTATACTGTCTTTAACTCCTTTTAATATTGGTGAGAGTTTACCATGCAACATGCAATTGGGTGTTGGGTGCACCAGTGGCCAAACCACAAACCCCACAATTCATGTGACTTGCTCGTCCACTGTCAGTGTACCAGAAATGTGCACCAGGACTGTCCACTGATTGAACATGATGCCCAGTGTGGGGCCAGTGTGATGCTCAGCAAAAGGGCTAGCATTCCCCAGGATACTCCCACATCTGTCCATGCCATCATTCCTCCACAGGCAGAAGTCAGTTTCATTCATAAATAATACCTGATACCATTCAGTGATCCAGTTGCAATGACAACAATACCAAGCCAGGCATGCCGTTCTGTGTTGAGTGGTTAATGGCACTTCTGTTACTGGTTGCTGTGCATACAGCTCAACTTGATCTGAACCATTCTCAATAGGCTGCATGAACGGATATGCACCTGTTGACGGTGACAGGTGGCTTCGGATGTAATATGTCATGGGTGAACAGATCCCAACAGGCTATATCACGAGTCTGACAGTCTGCGCACTATGTCATGCACTGGTGTAATTCACTCCCTCTTTAGCATGTTCACAGATGTCCATTATGTCACACATCATTGGATTATACTCATGTGCCCAAAACGTGTGGCAACTGTGCACATCGACAAACCAAGATTGTGCAGCTCCAGGACAGTCCCATTCTCCAGCTATTAATTGGTGGTATTCAGCTCGTCATCTGTGAAACCATTTTCCTATGCTTCTTCAAAAGTTGAGCTGCTGTGAACTATCGCTGGTAGCATTAAAGACCCAGGCCAGCTGCTGGTCTATTTAACCCAAAATTGAGTACTGAGCATATGCAAACTTATTTGCATATCTCTGTCACCTCTACCAGTCCTGTAATTTGCAGGTGGCTACATGCATTCCTTTGTGGTGTTCAATTTCACTTTTGAGGAGTGTATATTAATTTGCATTCGTGTAAAAATTTTATTCATCTTAAATTACAAGGTGGTATCAGAAAGTTTCTGGATTGTAGCTGATGTTACTTTACCATTGCAACAGAAATGCAAGGTCAAGGTCATAGCTTCCAAATCTGCTGACTCATTATGCATAATTTTGTAAAGTAGTGCAAAGATGGTTCTGCAATTGATAGCTGCATGAATCTGTCAGACATATCAAGTTCCATGTGAAGTTTGGGAAATCTGCTACTGAGATCCTCAAAATGCTTCATCAGGCTTTCAGTGAACATTTGTTAGGTCAAATGCAGGTTTTTGAGTGGCATGCATGTTTCAAGACTCATCAAGTGTCAGTTCAAGGTGATGAGTGTTCCAAGCGGCCAACCACCAGCAAAACAGTAGGTGAATTTTTTCAACATTTTCAACTGATCCATAGGACTGTAGAATGATTAGAATAAGTTATGGAGCCTGACAAGAGATTCTCGTATACAATCTGAACATACATCACATTGCTGCAGAGAGTTTGTGCCCCCATCTTTTGATAGATGAACAAAAGCAGCAACATCTTGACATATGCATTGAGCTTTGCAAAATGGACATGGTAGGTCAGAAATGCATGATCACGGTTTTTTTGACATTAGGACATTGTTCACGAAAAATTTGCTCCTCCTAGCATTTGAAGTAAAAGTCAGAATTGACTGTCATGTTTTGAGATGCTTTAGAGGCACAACAGTCAGTTGCAGTTGTGCCTCAGTTCACAACAATGTGCTCTCTTTGCACCTCTTTGAAGATGACAGTTTTTGAAAACAGGATGGTTGTTGTTCCACACCTTTCCTACTCACCTATCCCGTGACTTTGCCTTGTTCCTGAAAATGAAGTTGAAAGAGCACCCCTTCAAGACTATTGACAAAATCCAAGTTAAATTACAGATGGTATTGGATAGCTTGTGAGAAGACTTCCATGGTATCTCAGTCATGGAAGAAGTATCAGGATTACTATATATGCTCTCAGTGGACTGGCAATTTAAATTTTGATATTAACCTGTAAATTCTTCATATTTCAAAATAAACATAGCTTAGAAAATTTGTATTGCATTCTATAATAATAAGATTCTTCTCAAAATTTCATTTAAGGCATCATTTTAATAGAATATTACATTGTGTAAAATATGCTGATATGCAGAACTCTGTTTTATATTGTTTCTTATATTTCAGGTGAATTAGATCCTGAAAGAATTGGATCTGGAATCCAATATGGTGATGCATCCTTGAGGAGGCTTAACAGACAGCAACAGCAACGACGACCAGAATGTGCCTGTTAAAAATTTAAGAAAAATGTCTGCCAGCACATTAGACATTTCTTGTGCTTATCTCCTTTTTAGTCAATAAATCTCATTTTGTGATTATTTCTAATGGAACTATTCAGTTTTGTCTTTCCTCTGTTTTCCTAAGTGTAATATTATGTTTAAAGATCATAAATTTTGTAATTGCACAGAAATAATTATTTTTCCATCATGAGAATCTTGATAAAAGATATATGGACTCTAAAATACATCTCATTTTGATTTTGCTTAGAATTTATTAAAACTGAGTAATTGAATGTTCTCTCAAGATGCTTGATATGAGATCAGCAGTCAATAGATTCATAAAGAGAAGTACTTCAATTGACAATATAAACTATCTTTTTAAACAAAATATTGAAGATTATAAATCGTTTATTATAAATATTAACTAAAATTCAATTAAAAAAATAAGCTTAACTGACTGTTAAAAACATTTATCATATTTGCTTTAATTTATATCCCATCCTCCAAACACAATACTTTGACAAACTACAACAAATTAAATTGAAAATTTATTCATAACATACTTATGAATAAACTTTTCAATATTTTAAATATATTAAAAAAGATGTTATGTGTTTAGTTAACTTTGGGCATTACAAAACATGAATTTAAAAAATTATAAATTTATGCTGTGGGTAGCAAATTTGAGAAGCATTAATATATGTATGAAGCTACAAAATTAATCACCACAATAATTCAATCATTGGTTTAAGACAGTTGTGGTTTATTTTTGACCTAAGTGGCAAGAAAAAATGAATGGTTGTGATTATAACTTATTTGGATATTTGCAATAACATGCTTTTGGCATCATTAATAAATCTTGAAACATATGCACAAATGAAAATTTTCTTCCTCATATTTTTGTGTAAAATAATTATGTATATACAGTTTAAAATATAATTTACTTTTATATTTTTGTTTCCTATCCGAAATATACAGTCAAAATGCCTTGCAAACTTTTGTGATTATTCATTAGTTTTTAAAATGATAAACTTGTCTAACTAGTCTGTATATGGATTATGGATGAAAGTGTTTAAACTTCTGCCTCTTTTGGCAGTCAATTATAATCCTACACAAGCAAATATGTTTCTGCTTTGTGTGAAATTATGTACAATGTATACAAATGTCACTTGAATGTTAAAAAAAATCTTGTGTATATAAAGTCTTTTAATTAAAAAAAAAAAATAAATAAAGTGTAAGAGAAATTATTTAAAATTTTATATTAATTAAATTAACATTATATGAAAATAATTATTTAAATTATTAATTTGATAGATATAAATTGCATTCAATCTTAGAAAGATTGATGATGATAATTACAGGAGGAATGTTTCAACATGAGAGCTGATGTTAAATTAGCAGGAAAAATATACAATATGTATAATATTGCCATACTGTATATATGTATAATACAATATGGCAATAACAATAATATGGAATCTTGCATATTACACTACCTATGAAATGTTTCAGTTTATTATTATTATCTGTTATTATTAGATGTGCTTGGGGTGATAGAACAGACTTTTTCCCTTAAACGTCTCAAGTGAAAGAAAGATTCAAAGACAGGATTGGGAGTTTACCTGGGCCTGGAGAAACGGTTACACAGTAGTTCCTACCCCCTTTAAATTTATTTTTAGACTTGATTTTTATTTAAGAATTATTTATTAACTTTATTTAAGATTGTGTCTTTATTAATAAGTAGCATTCTTTACATATTCTTTTCTTAAAAAGGTGGTTAGACTGAAGCAAAGCATCTCCAGTTAAAAAAAAAGGTCTTGGACATATCTAAATGTAACCTTTTGCTTCAATTCTGATGATAGTGATGTACAGCCAGCATCTAGGAATTTGAACATTGTGATCAAATGTGTTATTCAGAATTATTCATTAAAAAGTTATTAAAAAATGCTAACAAGGGGAGGGCCAGACGTTTAGGTCTCTGATTTGAACGAAACTTGGCGAGCATGTAGCCTTAAACACAAGCAGTTCCTTGTCCAGATAATAGGACCCAATTATCATACGTTTCCAAAAATTGGGTTTCTGAAAATTTAGTATTTAGCATATGCTTGGAAGTTTCATGTCCCAGAGTGGTGATAACTGAGTGAATAAGACGCTAGGTACCAGAGCTAGACAATGCAGGTTTGAATCTTTGGAGTTTTAGTTTAGTTTATGAGTAACATTATTATTTTACTGCATCATAAGCATTATTATTACTATGTTTAAAGCTTTTTAAAACAAGATTAAAAATTGTGACATCATTTCCTGTTTAGTAAAAACAAGCCACTGTAAATTTAACTATTTTATGTCAAAATGAAACTTTTATTTTCACATATTTTACAAACTACTAACAAGCGAATAAGCTTGTTACTGCACATAGACAAAAAAGACAAGTGATATGAAAACGGTAGCATAGTCGCAGTGTTTTATTATTATTTTTTTTTTAATTAAATTAATTGTTAATATTATGGACAATTTCCTCATGTTTGTTACACTTCAAATCTCACAACATCTGAAAATATGAAGAAAATTTTATTTAACAACAGAGTTAAATCTAGAGGCTTGTTTTCAGTAAACAGGAAATGACATCATAAGTTTTAATCTCTTGTTTTATAAGCTTAAATGAGAGGAATATTATTATTCCTCTCATTTGCTAAAAATAACTTTTTGAAATATCATATCATTTCAATGCCAATGATACTGTAAAAGAATAATGTTACACATAAAAAAACTAAACTAAATGCTGAAGGTTCGAATCTACATCAACTAGCTCTAATGCCTAGCTTCTCATCAGCCAACTGTTCAGAATGTGAAGATTATCTTCTGTAATCACTCTTCTGATACAATTTCAGTGTCAATCATTCTCTTCTGGCTCTTCTCTTTCTTCTATCGATTCCCTCATAACTTGTTCTAAAGCTCCATTCAACTCATCCTGGGTCAAAGCTGTATGAGAGCTAGAAACATTCATTAAAGAATATGCATCCCATAAGCTGTTTAGTATATTCTCAAACTAATATAAGCCTAAGAATTTATTGAAACCTTTGTGATTGTTAAATAAAGATATATAAGCAATAGGTATGCAAAAAGTAAGCTAATTTTTCAAATACATTAAAAAATAAAAAAGTAAATGCAAATTATACTTAACATCACAAGGCACATAGTGGCAAGTACACCGCAGATATGATGCCACCTAATTCAATGCTTAAACAACTAAATGGTTAGAAACAGAAAGACCACTTGACATATAGGTAGTGACATATGCTATGAATAGGGAATACTGAAATGCACTTCTGCACTACCTATGTACAATGTTTTAAACAAGACATTATAAACACTTTGCAGCAATTTGCCATGGGCTCCAAAGAGTTTAACTAATTTTCTTAATTATAAATGAAAATACATTTAAAATGAATGATCACACATTATCAGTACAAAAATTTATTTTTGAAATCAAAATACAAATCACACAAAGTAATGAAAACGGAACTTTGGTATTGAGCATTTGTACAACAAAAATTATTTTAAGTATTACATTTTATGATTTGTTGGGTGGTCTAAGTTATCTACTCAATTTTATCAAATTTTCTTCTGTAATTCTAAAGATAATTATGAAATAAATAATTCACTTGAAAATATTAAAGTACTTTGGTTTTCAGTTTGGAATTTTCCAAATATACAATAATTAAAAAACAAAAAATAAAAAGATCTACCATTAAGAATATTTACTTTTACACTGCTTAGAGCAGTTTTATTCACATGATTTAATCAATAACAAGACTTGTACACATTTTAAGATATTAAATATAATAAGTAATTGATAAAACATGGTATTGCATTTGTCATTTAAGATATTATTAAAACATTTAAGGTATACATATCATCAGATACATTTTCTGGACAAGAATGACACATTACTGATAAATTTTACTTGTGAAAATAATCTCACTAAAAATACACATACACACATATATATATACATATACACATATGTATGATTCAAATTATAAATAAGCAAATGCTTAAAATTTTCTTAAATGGCATATTTTGTTTTTATAATTATTAACTTTATTTAAGATTGTGTCTTTATTAATAAGTAGCATTCTTTACATATTCTTTTCTTAAAAAGGTGGTTAGACTGAAGCAAAGCATCTCCAGTTAAAAAAAAAGGTCTTGGACATATCTAAATGTAACCTTTTGCTTCAATTCTGATGATAGTGATGTACAGCCAGCATCTAGGAATTTGAACATTGTGATCAAATGTGTTATTCAGAATTATTCATTAAAAAGTTATTAAAAAATGCTAACAAGGGGAGGGCCAGACGTTTAGGTCTCTGATTTGAACGAAACTTGGCGAGCATGTAGCCTTAAACACAAGCAGTTCCTTGTCCAGATAATAGGACCCAATTATCATACGTTTCCAAAAATTGGGTTTCTGAAAATTTAGTATTTAGCATATGCTTGGAAGTTTCATGTCCCAGAGTGGTGATAACTGAGTGAATAAGACGCTAGGTACCAGAGCTAGACAATGCAGGTTTGAATCTTTGGAGTTTTAGTTTAGTTTATGAGTAACATTATTATTTTACTGCATCATAAGCATTATTATTACTATGTTTAAAGCTTTTTAAAACAAGATTAAAAATTGTGACATCATTTCCTGTTTAGTAAAAACAAGCCACTGTAAATTTAACTATTTTATGTCAAAATGAAACTTTTATTTTCACATATTTTACAAACTACTAACAAGCGAATAAGCTTGTTACTGCACATAGACAAAAAAGACAAGTGATATGAAAACGGTAGCATAGTCGCAGTGTTTTATTATTATTTTTTTTTTAATTAAATTAATTGTTAATATTATGGACAATTTCCTCATGTTTGTTACACTTCAAATCTCACAACATCTGAAAATATGAAGAAAATTTTATTTAACAACAGAGTTAAATCTAGAGGCTTGTTTTCAGTAAACAGGAAATGACATCATAAGTTTTAATCTCTTGTTTTATAAGCTTAAATGAGAGGAATATTATTATTCCTCTCATTTGCTAAAAATAACTTTTTGAAATATCATATCATTTCAATGCCAATGATACTGTAAAAGAATAATGTTACACATAAAAAAACTAAACTAAATGCTGAAGGTTCGAATCTACATCAACTAGCTCTAATGCCTAGCTTCTCATCAGCCAACTGTTCAGAATGTGAAGATTATCTTCTGTAATCACTCTTCTGATACAATTTCAGTGTCAATCATTCTCTTCTGGCTCTTCTCTTTCTTCTATCGATTCCCTCATAACTTGTTCTAAAGCT